CACGAGACATTCTTGATAGCCGTCCGGATGATCCTGCTCTTTCAAATGTTGTAATAAGGCTAGGAGGATTCCATCTACTGATGTCGTTCATGGGGTCAATTGGTTTCATTATGCAGCGTAGTGGATTGACTGAATTTTGAAGCAAACTCAACTGAAAAAATCATAACCGGCCATGCATGCGCAAGGGCAGTACGAGCTTATATGTTGGCCCACAGAACTTTGGCCAAAATAATTTCTCAGTCAATGGCCCTTTCAGCTACAACTGGAGGAAATCTTGGTTAACATGGACAGAACAGTGATTCATTCTAATGATGTGGAAGAGATTACGAAAGATCTTTAAGATGAATTCAAAAGTAAGCTCCAATTTTTGGCAGAACGTGGCCCAACTGCCAAGCTCTGGGTTGTTTATTTCGAAATGGTGACTTTGATGAAGTACTTCATTGAAGCAGAAAGAAGTAGCGACTGGGAAATGCACCTTGAAACCATATATGGAATGATTCCTTTCTTTCACGCCAGTGGCCATAATCTGCATGCTAAATGCAGTCATCTATACCTCCTGGATATGCTCGCTTTGAAAACTACAATGCCACCTGCTGATACGAGAGTTTCACTACAGGAGGATGTTTCACCATTCGGAGGACTGATAAACTTTGGTGCGGCACCTGGACTGATATGACGATCGAGCAAGCTCTGAAGGAGTCAATAAAAACAAGTGGTGGTCTCACTCATGACCGTAGAGTAACTGCAAGTGTTGTAACAAGATGGATACAAGGGATGACAGCATTACATATTGTGTGTCAAGAAATTGAGCACTTCACTGGAGTGGAACACGTTGACAGCAGAGATACGATGCAAGAGCGAGACATAACCGATGCAAAAAAGTTGCTGAATTGGTTCCACGAACATCCTCCTTTTCCAGAGACCACTGACTTGATTTCACTTAGTTCAGGTGTTGTCGCAGATGATAGAATCAACTGCTACTTGTCCAAGGAGGATGGCATTCAAAGTATGCAGCGCATAGTTGGAGGTGACTTCAAAACTGTGAAATTTAAGCGAAGCGATAGGTAGTAGCCTCTTGTGATCATAAACAGCCCGATTCAGATAGAAGACAGGACTGTACTCATGAATCCTATCACACTTTTCCAACGAATGACCATCGTGAAACATACAGATGAAGAGCTACAAGAATTTTTATGTTACGAAGTTAGCCCCTATTCTATCTCACTTTCCGATGAGCATGAAATGGGGAAAGGAACCAAATCGAGTTTGTACCTACTGAACAGGCGAACTTGACCAATACAAAATTTGTCATCGACGGAGGGTTCTTATTACACCGGGTCAAATGGCATCACGGCCAGACATAAGTATGCAGAAATATGCAGTAGCTACGTTTTCTATGTAAGGTCAAATTACAAATGGAATGCCGTGGTCTTTTTAGATGGCTACCCCGACGAAGCTCGTGAAAGCACCAAGCGAATAGAGCGATTGAGAAGAGCGTAAAGAAAACATTCTGCGGCAATATCATTTACTGAATCGATGGTGCCCACTCTCTCGCAGAAGAGTTTTCTTGCAAATTCCACATACAAGAACCAGTTGATATTCATGCTTATGAAGAAGTTGAATGAAGCAAAGATTGAATCACAGCAAGCAGTCGAAGATGCTGATTTTCTTATAATTACAATAGCACTCAAGTTGGCTTCTTCAAATGAATACGTGACAGTGGTGGGGAAAGACATCGACCTTTTGGTGATTTTAATTGGCCTGTGTAGTCGTGCTATAAAAAATGTCTCTTTCGTGAAACCAGGAAAAGGAAAGGTGTCTCACACCATCTACGCTCGATCCTCACCTACTAGACGAAACCCTATCGGACCATATTTTGTTCCTGCATGCGATGAGTGGTTGTGGCACCACTTCCGCTCTGTTCAATCAAGGAAACTTATTAGATATTTCTCAAAGTTTTGCAAAGGAACAATGACTTGATACAAATTATTGAGGTTTTCAAAGACCCTCAGCTGACCAGAACGAGATTGCTCAAGCAGGCAACATGTTTCTGATGGCTTTGGGAGACTAGTTTCAATGATTTGAGATACAGGCATTACATATCATCCTTTAAAAGCAAACCCAACATTGCCGCACTACCTCCCACTGAAGCTGCTGCACGAAAACATTCACTGAAAGTGTACTTTCGGGTGCAGCAGTGGTTATCTGGACTAACCATATCCGATGAAGAGCTACAAAAAGACCCGAACGAGTGGGGGTGAAAAAAAAAAAACCAACAGTGGTCTTGTGCCTGTTACAAGCACGTCCAAACCCGCACCGAACTCAATACTACAGATGCAAATGCAAGAAAGGCTGCCAGCGAAATTGTGGATGCAGGAAGACAGGCCTTTATTGCTCGTCAATATGCACAACATGCAACGAGTTGTGTAAAAACGTCAAGTCCCCGAATGAAAGCGTTGAGATCGACGAAGAAGGGACCGAAAATAGAGACCAAGAAATATCTGGAGAAGAACGCACACACGATGTGGAAGGTATGTCCAATCGCAAAATCACGTGTTTGTTTTTCATAATTTCTCTGATTTTCCAGTCCAATTCCCGATATTTATGGAATTACTCGATCTTCTGCCAGAACCTTCCAAGAGAAATTGCAATGAATAATATGATCTCTTCTTCTTCTTCTCCCTAGCCGTTCTCTATCCTCTAATACTCTAGATGTAGGCCTCTCCCAGATAACATGACACTATGATAATAAAATCAATAATATGGTTCTATAATAATAAAGTGATGAAAATTTGCAGATAAAATATGGGTTTTTCTGGAGATAGATAAAATACGACCATTTTCAATTAGCGCTTGAGCCAAAACGGTTTGTCCTGCAAAAAAAAATTAAATGCATGTAATTTATATAAAATTTTATTTTCTTCCATTTTGAATAGAAGTGTTTTTTTCCAAAAAATTGATAGTTTTCGAGTTATACGCAAAAGACTGCCAAAACTACCATTTTTTAAAACTTTTTCTGCATTTTTTTCAATGTTGCTACACGAAATTTCGTTAGCAAACCTCATATTCGGATTCAGCACTCCAAAAAACATATGGGAAAAATCAAAACTACCCTACTACCAAAAATTCTACCTATTTGATTGGACTAGAATCTTATCTACCACTTGGCAAAAACAGGTCAACTTTGCAACGATTCCCTCGACCAATCCTAAAATTCTTTATGCAATTAATATTTTTTTGTGGAAAATAGTCCATTAATGATATTCCAACTCCCACTCTCGATAATTTATTCCCTGAAATAATTATTATTCCAACAAGCACGGAAAGTAAAATATTCTTTGGTAAAACGTCCGATATTTTTTTCTCGAAACTATAAGAAAGTGACATTTTTCTTCAATTTGTATGAGTTAAACTAGGAACAAAAATTGCTTTTCTCAATTTTTGAAATAGAGTATAGTGGTGTTTAAGAAACTGAAGTTGGTCATTATATTTTGTAAGAAATTAAATATTTCCCAAGGAACATACTTTGCACCCAAGGGATTTTTCCATATTTTTCTATTAGAACAGGGCCTGTCCATCGTTTAATATGGGTAACGTTCAAAAAATTAGAGACAAGCTGAGATTTGGTAAGAAACGTTGTTTTAGGGTACTAAATATACTCTGAAAACCCAGCGCCGAGGAGTTGAGCCCGCCACCCCATAATATCTCCAAAACTAAGCATTTTGGAAAAAAATATCAATAAAGAAAAATTGTAGAGAAGAAAATTTCCAGTAGTAATATAACTAGTGCATAAAATATTTCCGGAAATTTTTGTAAATTTTGTCTGAAGCCAATTTTCTAACAAAATCATGAGTGCATAGCGCCTGAAAAAATCCCGAAGCCAAAGGGTGAGGGATTTCTTCTTCGGCGCTATGCACGAATGATTTTGTTTAAAAAAAATGGCTAAAGATGAAATTTTAAAAAATTTCCCTTAGGAAATATTTTATGCACGTGTTATATTTTGATAGGAAATTTCCCGAGTTTGAAGTTTATACGTTGTGTCGAATATTTTAATTATCTTGATGTGTTCTGTGATGGTGATTGTTATTGATCTTTCCCATTTAAATTGCGTTTGTCAAAAAATATACACTTTGACAGATTTCTGACATCAATGCGTTTTAAATGGAAAAGCTGGACTCAATGCCAAAAATGACAATTCTGGAAATTGCACCCGGAAATATCCCGCTCACCAGGGATATTTCCACTTATCAATTTTTGAAAATTACGAGGTAAATTTCCAGTTAAATATGCAGAAGGGAAATTTCCTACCAAATAGGTTGTCATTAATTTTTTAGATGCTCAGTGGCGTAGGTATTAGGTATTTAATTAAAGGGATTCTTCTAAAAACAATCAGTTATTTATTTTTAACCTTAAAATGGGCATGTAGGTAGGCTGAATCATTCCGTTTGAGAAGTAATTTTTGCCAGGGTCCTCATTTTTGAAACAGGGGAGCAGCGTTTCCTGGAGAACGAGGAGTGTCTTTAGAAAAATCCTTTTAATTATATACCTACTTTCTATCTACGCCAATGAAAATCTAAAAAATTTCTGTATATCTATTTGGTAAGGAAATTTTCTTCTCTATAATTTTTTTTTTACATTTTTTTCCTGCAATGCTTAGTTTGGGGTGACGGGCTCAATGCCTCGGCGCTGGGGTTTCAGAGGGTATTTAGTACCCCGAAACACAGTCTCTTACCAAATTTTAGCTTGTCTCTAATTTGTTGAACATCATCCTGTATGGTCCCTGTACTATACATATAGTTAATAATTCCGCTTGATCCCTTCCAACTATTCAGTGCCTGTAAGTGAAATTGAGAAGGATAGAATTTTTTTGGATGAAAATCCAGCTAGCAATGGATTTTTATTGAAATTTCCAAGTAGAGAAAGGCAGAATTAAAGGATTTTTCGTGTGTTTTTCAACCATTGAGCAAGTTTCTCTAAGTCGAAGAACCCAAGTAAAAGGAGTTTTCACAACTTTTCCTACAGCTGAGACTCGGGAGAATTTAGAAATTTAGAAAGGAGAATAAAAATTAAAGAGTCAAAAATAAACAAAAAATGGGACAAATTCACGAAGAAGAAAAAACAATAATAAAAATTGGAAATAAATTATTAGACAGATAATTGGTGAACATAATATTCTCTTTTCCTAGCTATTGAATTTTTTTTATCTGCAGAAATTCAGAAGACGATGAAAATTCAAGGCATTCCAATGAAAATTGAAAAGATGATATAAATTTTCTTTAATCAGAAAAATTTGAACACAAAATCTGATGAGCTTAAAATAGATGAGAAGGCAGACATGCATTTTAAGCCAACTTGGATGAATTTTGATTGAGAAGAAGTGGAATAAATGAGAATGTCTAACGAAATGCCATTTTCCTTCTACTTTCACATTTTTTTATTTTGATTAGGAAGAGGTAAAATATTGCAAAAAATATCTAGAAAATGCGACTTATTTTTGACATATATATTTTACATATTTCATAGAAAAATTCACTTTGACTAAAAATCGATTTATCCTTTGTCCGATTCCGCCCAACCAGGAGAACTTTTATCGTTTAAATTATTCGCCCCAAACTCGGAGCTTATAAAACCAAACAGAACGATATAAGGGAAGTGGGAAGGCGGTACAAGGCACCACCTTTGGTTCATATAAATATGAAATATTGAAATCGGAGCACATTCACCGAAGAAATAGGTACTGTTAACAAACACAATGAGGGCATTCCAAGTAAGAACTTTACAATTATTTTTGACACCAGTGAGAATTTAATTTTCATTTTATTTCTTTTTGGTTTAGGCTTGTTTGGTCTTGGTTTTGGTAGCCTCTATTGCTGCCAAACAAGACAAGAGAGGTTTGATCCTTGGAGATGCTGGTCATGGTCTTGGATTGGGATTAGGCGGAGTTGGAATTGGCAACTTGGGTAAGAGTTTTTCTAGTTTTTGTACAAGTTCATCATTTATCTATTCATTTATTTCAAGTACATTACAAAGCAGCCCCGTTATATGCTGCTTTGAGACCTTCATATACAATAGCCCCACATTACAGTAGTTATGGTGTGAATAGTTTGAACTATGCAGGACATTTAGGTAGACAAAATGAGAACAGAATTTCTTCTTTTAATTATGTCTATTCTTCAATTAACCACACATGAAAATCCTGCACTCTATTTCTTCTATATTTAGTTTTGTTTGAAGAAACTTTTACGATATTTTCTAAGCACTTTTTATAATTTTTATAGTTTTTCTTAATACAAACTTTCGTATGCTTCACTTTATTTTCCTACTAATAAATTCTTCTTCATTTGATGTTTTTGTCCAATTTTATCTTTTTTATTTAATGATAATTGATACTTTTAAACCAATTTTGTTTTTTTCCACTTTCATCTTGCTTAGCTTCGAGAAATAGATTTTTGTTGCCTATTTTCCCTGCTAATCTTGCACACTTTTCTATGCTCTATTTTATTTTTCAGTCTGTTTTCCTTCATGCACATCATATAATTTTTGCATCTGTTCATTAATAAAACTAATTTCATTAAATTCCACATCTAGGCTCTGGTCTTGTAGCTGACGGTCGTCTAGGTCTCAACGGAGCAGGTATCGGTCTCAACGGAGCAGGTATCGGTCTCAACGGAGCCGGCATCGGTCTCAACGGAGTTGGTATCGGTCTCAACGGAGCCGGCATCGGTCTCAACGGAGCCGGTATCGGTATCAACGGAGCAGGTCTCGGTCTTAGAACCGGAATCCGTACCGTCTCGTCTTCAGCCTCAGTCATCGACCGCGCAGTCGCCATCCCAGTACCGGCTCCAGTCCCAGTCGACGTACCACGTCCAGTAGCCGTTCCAGTTTCGGTACCCAGACCCGTCGACGTGCCACGCCCTGTAGCAATCGACGTCCCACTACCACAACGCGTTGACGTACCACGTCCAGTACCAATCGACGTTCCAAGGCCCATTGCTGTACCAAGACCAATTGGTGTACCAGTTGACCGTCCACGTGCCGTAGGCGTAGCAATTCCCTCTCCCGTAGCCGTAGACGTTCCAGTAGCTACTCCCGTAGGAATCCCCACTCCCGTTAACGTAGGAAACATTGCAGTGTCCGCAGGACGCGGAATTGGACTCGGTGGTCTTGGCGGAGCCGGAATTGGACTTGGAGGTGCCGGAATTGGACTCGGCGGACTCAACGGAGGAGGAATTGGCCTCAACGGAGGAGGAATTGGCCTCAACGGAGGAGGAATTGGCCTCAACGGAGGAGGAATTGGCCTCAACGGAGCAGGAATCGGACTTGGCGGACGAGGAATTGGTCTTAACGGAGGTGCAATTGGTCTTAACGGAGCCGGTTTAGGTTTGGGAGGTGGATTAGGTAACTAGTCAATTTATTATAATTTAATGTCGCATTTTTTTTAAACTAATTTTTGTTTTAGGTGGTCTTGGAGGTCACGGACGTTTACACTAAATTTAAAATTAGTCAATGACTGTTAAAATAATCTAAATCTCTATTTAGATTTTCATTTTGTAACAAATTGTAAATACATAATAGATTTTTAAATAAATTATTATTTTTAACTAAAAGAATGAAGCATTGTTGTGCGCTGTCCATTTGTTTAAGTTTAAGATCGCCATCAAGAATACAGTTACCTCAAAAATACGTTTTTGTGTTTTTTTTTTAGAGAAAATAGATCCCTGTATCAATAAATTGGCTTAAGCAATACAAAGAAAATACTTAACCTTCACAAAATCAGACTTTACCATTAAAAAAATAAAAACTATCCAGTAATAACAATTCTTGTATTATTTATTGTTACAATAATTATTCTATATCCTTGATTATTCATTTTTTTGTTGTTACCATAAAGAATGCATTATAGGGTATGTATGCGGCATTGGGCGTTGGTTGTCCTGTTTACAGGAAAGTCGCAATATCAGATACTGTTACAATATATTGTTTTACAACAGTATTTATTTTGCCTAAGGTAATTCTTATGATGTTGGAAATGTGTATCTCAAATTACTTCGACCGCCATACTTGGCAAGTTGATAAAATCAGGATGGATAAAATAGTGAGAAAATGCTAGAATTTTTAACTGAATTTCAGACATTTCAACTTCAAAACTTGCATCATTCGTCGACAGTATGAAATTTGAGGCTCTGTAAAGTAGGCAGGCACACTTGAAACACAAAAGTTAAATTTTACGTACTCGTTTAATGCTTCAATGTGCTTCAATCCCCAAATCAGCAACTCTTGTATTTTCGGAGATATTTTGGTTTTTTGAAATCGCCTGCTCACTTCACACCCATCAGGAGCAAGGGAAGTCCAACGTTCAGTTACAGATAGATGGTTAGTGCTTCCATGTGCTTTAATCCCCAAATTAGCAGCCCTTGATTTTCAGAGATAAGTATTCCGGTTTTTAGAAATCGCCTGCGTAGTTCATACATAGCAGGGACATTGGAAGCACCAACGTTCAGTTGTAGATAGATGGTTAGTCCTGATCTATATAACATTTGTGATAAGATGAATATAACGGCTGCTCAAAAGAGAAACTAAGGCCCGGTTTTATGAACTTCTGATCAACTATCAGGATTATCTGACGGATAAAAACGCAATCTACAATCCTTTTGGTAGGCCAGTTATTTGTCGACCAAGAGAATTATTTATTGGCAAATTTGTCTTGTAGATAGTTACCAGTAAGTTTATCAGAAAATGAGTAAACCGGCCCAAGCATTAGGAAGCAATCAGTACCTACTAATCATATTCATAAGTAATTTAGACCAGAGTTTATGCTGTTCATATTCTCGGTCTCGGAAGTATGAGAGTTGTTAAAAGCTGAGGTGGTGCATCATAAAGCACTAACGAAGCCCTAACAATTTATTTACAACTGAACAATGGTGCTTCCCATGTTCCTGCTGGGTGAATAAACCGGCAATTTCTGAAAACCAAATTTTCTCTGAAAATATAGGGGTTGCTTATTTGGAGATTGAAGCACATTAAAGCACTAATGAAGCGCTAATCATTGATTTATCTGTAACTGAACGTTGGTGCTTCCCTTGTTCCTGCTTGGTGTGAAGTGAGCAGGCGATTTCAAAAAACCGAAATATCTCCAAAGATACAAAGGTTGCTAATTTTGGGATTGAAGCACATTGAAGCACCAACGAAGCCCTAATAATTTATTTACAACGTTGGTGCTTTCTTTGTTCTTACTGGGTGTGGAATAAACCGGCAATTTATGAAAACCGAAACTTTTCTGAAAATATAGGGGTTGCTTATTTGGAGATTGAAGCACATTGAAGCACTAAGGAAGCGCTAACCATTTATCTGTATTTGAACGTTGGTGCTTCCCTTGTTCCTGCTGGGTGTGAAGTGAGCAGGCGATTTCAAAAAACCGAAATATCTTCGAAAATACAAGGGTTGCTAATTTGGGGATTGAAGCACCAACGAAGCCCTAACAATGTATTGACAACTGAACGTTGGTGCTTTCCTTGTTCTTGCTAGGTATGAAATAAATTGGCGATTTCTGAAAACCTAAATTTTCTTAATCTTATCTGTAATTGAACATTATTGGTGCTTCCTATGTTCCTGCTGGGTGTAAAGTGAGCAGGCGATTTCAAAAAAACCAAATATCGCGGAAAATACAAGGGAAATTTGGGTATTTAAGCACATTGAAGCACTAACGACGCGCTAAACAATTACGTAATTTTTTTTTTTTTTTTTGCTTCAAGTGTGCCTACTTCACAGAGCCGAAATTTTGGGGATCCAAAATGATTAAGTCAAGTTAAACAAGAAAATCACATTTTCAACTGTAGAAGAGATATTTAACTAACATTTTTCTAGAATTTAAGATGTCTAAAAATTCAAAATTGCCCTCTTTGAAGTTAAAGTTCCAGAGATTGGAATTTATAAAGTGCGAGAGGACCACGACTTTATTAACAGTTCCAAATTGCAGAAATTTTTGTTTCCTTTAAAAATGAGTACATATTCCCTATACTTATTATAAACTTCATAGAGGAAAACGTATGGGGGTTGATGGCCACGATTTTGTCTCAAACTGCCATCTAATAATTTAATAACTAACTAGGTATATCTGAAAGTCAGTGATTGGTACTTAACAATATGCAAACTATATAAAGTGAAAGTCAAACTTTTTGCAATTTCGAAGCATGTACAAAAGATGGCAGAACTAGTAAGAAGTTTTACTAAGTATTATATCAACAAAAATTAAAGCATTTTCCTAAAGAACGTCCCTAATACGATAAAAGAACATTCCATCTTTATATAAGCAAAACGAAAATACATGAGAATGCACATATGTGGAAAAAACCCTTTTCAATTTATAATGAAAAGGTTCAACAAGAACCTTAGAAACCTCAAACTGCAAATTATTCTAAAATGTATTTATAGTTTTCACCTCAAATTCGCATATTATAATGATTTCCATGACGCACCATGTAGACAAGATGAATACTGAATAATTGCATAATGAGGAGTTTGTAATAAGTAATAATTGATTTTAAAATAGGCGGTGGTGGCCTTAAACAATTAAAACACGCGATTGTAATTGAACAACTACTTAATTTTATAGAAGACGAATTTAAAAACTGTGTACAGCCATTGATGAAAGACGTTTTGTGTGACACGGTTATTAGGTTTTAGTTTTTTCTTTCAAAGAAAACGTAAGTACATATATCTTTAATATGCTAGTGGTCGTTGTATTATAAAATAGAACAGATGAATTATTGATTTGCAAAACTTAGTAGGTTGTAACACGCGAATCAATAATTTTACGTACATGAAATCTAGAATCTACATCTACAATCTACAATGTATCGAACTGCATGGCTGCTGATTTTTTAACATCTTCTGTTATGTTTTACAATGTTTCTCTCATCCATTTTTCAGTTTCTTCTCTATAGTCTGCTAGGCTCTGCAAAAAATCTTGAGATGTTTTCCTCCCTGATCTTCCAACGTCTATCAAAGGCTCTTTAAATCTTTCCACCTTTGATCTTTTAATTCCTCAGACTTTGTTTTTATCCAAAGCTTTCGAGATAAGACATATTTCGAGTGTTTGCTGTTATGTATTTACCATAGAATCCTCTGTTCATATTTCTTGAAACATCAATCCATAAAGTCCGGTGCCGAAGTCAACATTCTAATACCATGTGTGTCTTCTGCTCTACGAGACATGATGTTAATGTCGTTTGCATATGCCGCTATTTGTACTGACTTAGGGTACGTGCACAACGGAGCTGTGGTACGAACTTATAGCACAGGCGGTACATCGGACAAGTGAGTATAGCTGGGATGATCGCTTATAGAATACTAGAATTGTATCACAGCTCCGTTGTGCACGTACCCTTAGATGCTAGGTTTGATGTTCCTACGTCTATTTTTCGGATGACGTACCTTAGCGCCAATGTGGGAGCTAGTCCATCTGCTCGCTTAAGCCCTTTATTTATGTGGAGCATTTCAGTCCTGTCGCACTGTCTGTCGCCATTATAGTGTCCATTGTGGCTTTTACTAGTCTGATATATTTGGGAGAAATGCTGAAGCTATAAAGAACCTGATATAGTCGACCTCTATTGATGCTGTTGTATGCTTTTCTGAAGTTTATGTCATGTTCCCACGCTTCACTAAACATTTGTTCCATCACAAAGAGTTGGTTTGCTGTAGAACGATTCTATCTGAAGTCGGCTTCATATTTACCAATTATATCCTCTGGTTCTAAACGCTTATTTAGGATATACGTGAATATATTATTGGTAGCGCATAGAAGGGTAATTCCTCGCTAGTTTTCGCAGCTCAATTTGTCTCTTTTCTTGTAAATAGGGCAGATAATTCTAGTTTTCCAGTCTTCGGGATTTTGCTCTTCTCTTTCCCCTGCATCTGGCATTTCCATGTATTGATCATTTTCTTGTGATCCCAGTAAATTTTGGAAGAAAGTTTTCCATGTTTCCTATTTGTTGTAGATCACTGATTATTTGTCGTTCGTTGTTTCTACAAAGGATTGTGCGTTGCTTGTATCCTTCTCTCAAACTGCGTAGATAATTATTTTCAAAATCATGTACCAGTTTGTGGCATGTTTTGTCACCCCTTCTTCCCAGATGTTCTGTCTCTTGTTCTTCTCTCCAACGTAAGCTTTATGAGCTTTGTTCCAATCTTCTATGGCCCTTCTTCACTTTTCATCAACCCAGTCCGCCCTTTTCCATCTCGCCTTCTTGCCTATTATTGCAACGGTTTCTAGCTTTCAGATTTAAGTTCATTCCAAAGTTCCTCAGGGTCCTTATTCTTGAAACCAGGGAGCAGCGTTCCCAGGAGAACGAGTGATCCGTCTTTGTCATTCATATGCAACTGGTTATATGTAGCAAGGACGGAACACTTGTTCTCCTGGGAACGCTGCTCTCTTGTTTCAAGAATAGGGACACAATACTTTCAGTTCTGCGTTTTTTATTCTTCGGGAAAGTTCTTGCTTGTATCTTTAAGAGACTTATTCAATCTTAAGTTGTTCAACGTCGCAGCAATCCGGTGCTGGGCTTGTCCTGATGTTATTTCTGGATATTTTGCATCTGAACTTCACCTGCACCAGTAAGTGGTCTGACCCGCAGCATGCTCCTCTTACGTCTGTAATGCTACTTTTCCTTCTATGAGCATATGATCTATTTGGTTAGTGGCAGCTTCACCTCGCATGATCCACGTAGCTTCGTGTATATTTTTGTGAGGGAACTGAGTAGAGCTTTTAACCATATTCTTCCTGCTGGCAAAATTGATTAGAAATTCTCCATTCTCATTGGTTCTTTCCTGGAGTGAGTGTCTGCCTAATATGAATAGAATACAATTGGAAAAAAAGTTTATTATGCAAAAATACAAAGAAAAATGTGCAAATTACATAATAGGTAGCATTCGTTTATCGTTCAGAAATACAAACTTAGCTGCTAACGAGTACCCACATATCAATTGGATTTTTCTAACATTATATTGGTAAAGAACATTACATAGTGATGTTTAAAGTTGGCAAGAGATTTACTATCTATTAGGACAAACGTGTCTGAGTTAAGGAGTTTCATACACCTATAAGCAAACCCATTTCTAAACTTAGCTGTTAAATGCCGTGGAATGTGAAATCTAACCACATTTCTTAGAGGTAGGTCATGCAAGACGTGTCTGGCAGCAATGAAACTCCTTAGATAAGATAGACAATTTAACTTGTAAACCTTATACACAAAAACTCCAAAATGAAGCAATGATATTCAATATATCATGCGCAACATATACAGGTGAAATATGATCAAATTTATTTATACAGTAAACAAAACTCATGCAAGCATTCTGTGCCATTGGAACTTTTTTGTGATATTCATTACTTATGTATTTGTAATAAACTACGTTGCAGCAATCTAACTGTGGATAAATAAGCGAATCAATGAGTATTAGCATAATTTTTCCAGGCAGCAAATACTTGAATGCATACAAACTCTTCAACTTTATATTACATATGAATATACTGAGGCTAGTTTTTTGTTCACGTGAGATTCAAATAACAAGAATTCATCAAATGTCAGTCCTATGTTTCTAACATTTTTAACACGTGACAATAGCATTTCGTTGACATGAAGCACAGATTAACATGAAGTGTCACAAACTACTCCCAAGAATCAAAAAACAACTCTTTCCAGGGTTCAAAATCAAACCATGATTCCTTGACCATGTATAAATTGCATTTAAGTCAGCATTTATAGCAGCCATAGACTGGCTGGCTTGCTCAGGAGTAAATCCAGCAAGCAGCTTAGTGTCATCAGCGTAGAGATGGATGGAACCAAAAAAAGCCTGCCCTGGCAGGTCGGCAGTATAAAACCTGAAAAGTAGGGGAACAAGAAAGCTTCCCTGTGGGACACGATAACTCAACATTACCGACCCAGATCTAGCTCCATCGACCACCATAATCTGCGCACGCATGTCTAAGTAGCTAGAGATCCACAGGCTAATCCGCTCCAAGAAACCAAAATACAGCAACTTAGCTATCAGCATCTCGTGATTCAAAAGATCAAAAGCTTTGCTGTAGTCAAGCAATACTAGACAGGATGCTTTACCACTATCAATGTTTTGCGATATGTCGGTAATTATTTTGCTAAGCGTTGTTGCGGTACTGTGACCCATCTCTCTCTTTTCCTCCTCCTCCGTTGTTGTTGTTGAGAGAGATCTCTCTCTTTTCCTCCTCCTCCGTTGTTGTTGTTGAGAGAGAGAGCCTATTTGAATATTTGGTCATTCATGTCCTCTATTATGATTTTGATATCATTTTCTTGGGCAGTGTTCGTATGCCTCGTTCAGTTGATTGGTTCTTTTATCCAGATCTTCTGTTGGGCTATATGGACATTGATGATGGATAGTTTGAAGAAGCTGGATTTCAACCTTAACTTGCAAATCCTCTCATTTATCCAGTATGTTGTGTTTAATCTTGTTGTCTACAATGAAGGCAGCTCCGAACTCCTTCCTCCCGGTTCCTTTTTCGCTGAATAAAATTGTAGGAATTTTGCGTCCCTAATTCCATTTTCGAACCATCTTGTTTCGTGAATTGCCGCTAGTGATATTCTATATTTCCGGGGCACGTTTAGTAGCAACATCTAGGCGTCTGGATTATTCACAGTCAGTACATTCCATATTCCATGTTCCCAAAGCGTATTCCATATTTTTTTTTGCCTGAGTCATGTTCGAGGTATTCGTTTCGTGTTCCGAGGCTGGTTGATCGGATTCATGACAAGGATGTTTCTCCGGGGTGAGGTTATCGGCCTCACGTTCAACCACAAATTCCTGAGCTACTCAATTCGCCTATTTGTCACCCCAGGTGTTTCGAAATATAAGAATTTGAATCAGAGATACCTATAGAAATGTAGTTTTATGCAAAAAGTTACATTCTCGAATTTCTAGGTATAGACACAAAATCCCACTATTGACAATTTTCGATAATTTTTTCGAGATTTTGTATCAGAGGGTCAATAATAATAATTTCAGGATAAACATGGGCCTCGTGAAATTCCTTTGATTCTGATACAAATTTCTTTTGGATTTTATTAGTGTTAAATGTAGGTTTCAACATCGAAATTCTAGTTTTTGGTTTTTGTTTTAACATTAACTCAGGTGAAATTTGAGTAAGACTATGAGGAATGTTTCATATTAAAACAAAAAATTATCTTATTTTTTTTTTATTTGATTTTTTAGACTGTGCTTTACAAAATAAATCAAATTCCTCTGAATTAAATGGCGGACCATTATCAGAATGTATTTCATCTGGCAAACCAAATATAGAACAGGTTTGTCTCAGACATGAAATAATATCACTGGCTGTAGCTGTTTTTAAAATCCATGCATCCACCCACTTACTACTTGCATCAATCAAAATAAGAAATTTTACATCATTTTTCATAGCAAGATCTAAATGCAACCGTTGCCATTTCCTAGGCACCATGTCCATGATGTCGATGTCATAGGAGCATCTGATACTTTACTTGCCATTAATTGACAACACTCACACATTTTTACCAAATTTTCAATCTCTCTATTTATATTTGGCCAATAGACGTGCCAACATTTTTATTTTGACAATTCCAGGATGTTGTTCGTGCAGTAAGTGTAAAACATTCACTCTTAAATAAGTTGGAATAATAACGCGATTATTAAAAATTAAACAATTCATATCGAGAATCAAATCTTCACGGAAGTTGTAGTATGGTGAAAGTGGTGCATCAATTTGACTAAGATTTGGCCAACCATACATCACTTGTCTCAATACTATATCTTTTATAGATATCTTTAGAGGACAATGGTGTGGTATGAACCACAGAAAAATGGTGAACCGTTTCACCACTTTTCGATTCTTTCAATGGAAGTCTCGAAAATGCATCAGCATTTTGAATATTTTTACCCTCGCGGTACTTTATAATGAAATCGTAAATTGATAGAGCGACAGACCAACGCTCTAGCAGCTGCTAAAGCTAGTTAATTCTCACTTAGTGACAAAATGCTCTGTAAGGGCTTATGGTCATTGAATAACGTAGAATGTCGACCAAATAAATAATCGTGAAACTTCAAAAATGAAAAGGCCTCCTTATCGAGCTGGCTATAATTCTGTTCAGATTAAAATAATGTTCCAGATGCATACATAACAAGTCTTTCACTCCCATCCAGGCAAAACATGTGCTGAAACCGCACCCACACCATAATTTGATGCAAGTCAGAATTATAAGCAAATTAGGATTGAAAGTCATCATAATATTTGAGGAAGTTAAAAACATTTTACTCTCTTCGAAACATCTATCAGCTGTTTTATTCCGCAGAGCCAGGAAATATCTTTTCTCAAAAATTTGTATAAGGGAGCTACTTTATCTGCTAATATAGGAATAAATTTGGAATAGTGATGTAACAACCCCAAGTATGATTGTAAATGTTGCTTTTTTTCGGAGCTTTTAAAATAGCATATAGTTTACTTACTGAAGATTTCACCCCTTTTCCTGATAACGTATGTCCTAAAAATTCAACTTTCTCAACAAGGAATTTGCTTTATGCCAATTTATTCCTATTGTTTAAATCTATCCAAAACTTTGTTCAACACTTCAAGCATTTCATTGGTTGATCTAGCTGTTATTAAATAATCATCAAGATAACAATGAACGCCTCCAACATCTTTCAAAATCTGGTCAATGACTGAATGAAAAAGGTGTGGAGCCGACTTAATTTGAAAAGCTAAACGTGTATAAGCATATAGCCCTATTGGTGTGTTAACAACTAACAATTTTTTACGCTCTTCGCTCACTCTTAACTGTAAATATGCATTCTTTAAATCAATAACTGAAAAGATCTTACCTTCAGACAGTGATGCAAATATTTCATCAGTAGTTGGCAGTGGATATTACTGATTCTCAATGCAAGGGCTAATTGTTGACTTAAAATCACCAAGAATACGTATCTATCTTACCATCTGGTTTTGGTACTGCAACAATTGGACTCGCCCACGCGAATGTGGTGACAGGTTCAAGAATACCGTCTTCGATCAATTTATTTATTTGTCTTTTAATGCGTATGGAATCCTGTAAGGTTTACAAAATTTTGGAAGAGAATTTCCTTTTACTGCTATGTTAACTACATACTCTTTGATGCAACCTGGTTAAGCTAAAATACTTGAATAATCCTGCTTTTACTTATTTACTATGTCTAAGATAGGCTGCTGACTTACAACATTATTAACTAAAATTTGTAGTTCATCTTTACCTAGGATTTTATGTTTCCAATTGGGAACTAAGACATCTAACCAAGATCTACCCAATAAACAAATAATATTGCTATCATTATCTACTACTCTTATTTCCAAGTGATGCCTCAAGTTGTCAAAATTTATACTAACCATAGCCTTATATACAGAGTTCATGACTTGTCCAAACAAAGTATTTACTTTACAATTCTGTTTCGTTAGTGTAACATTTTGGAACATTGATCGGAACATGTTATACGGCATAATGGTACTATTTGCACCTGTATCTATCTCCATACTTACTGCCATGGTTTACTATTCATCAGAATACTTAACATCGCTGCACAATGATCACCTGTTGTAACTGATCTAAAAACTTCTTCATTTCCATAAATTCTAGACCAGTAAGCTAGATCTTCATACAACTCTTCTTCGACATCTTTTTCGTCTTGACTTCCCATTTGTTCTTCTTCTTCGGTATAATTGCACCTTATTTTTATGACATAATGGTGATTTGGCTGTATGCCCAAAACATTTTCAATCGACAGCTGGACACTTTGACGGATCGGTATGGACTCTCAGACATCTTTAACATTTATTTTTGTAATTGTTCTGTCCACTAGACACATTATAACCACTGATACACTTTCTCGAACTTGTGGATGGCATACTCGACTGGAACCTTTCACCAGAGTAGCTGGACTGAAATTTGTTTTTTCCCATGTGAAACTTATTTACTGATTCAGACCCTAATGTTTTTGCTTGACCTTCTGCCAATTCCATGCTAGAAGCTATTTTTACTGCTTTTTCAAAATTTAACTGCTCTTCAGTTAAAAGTTTTCGCCTAATGCCCCATACCAACTTATCTCGTAGTGCCTCATTCAAAAACTGCCCAAACTTACAGTTTCTTACTAAATTTCCCAATTTCAATGTGAACATTGAAATATCTTCGTGGCTCTCTTGCCTAGCACTATAAAACTGGTACCTCTCTGCAATAACCAATCGCTTTGGACTGTTGTGTTTTTCCAAAACTTCCTTTAACTGATCATATGACTTATCCTTTGGCAGTTCTGGGGACAGCAAATCTTTCAACACTTTATAAGCCTCTCCTCTAACAAGGATTGAAAACATGCATAATTTTTTTTCCTTCTTCTATGTAGTTACATTCAAATAACTGATCCATTCTCTCCATATATGAAGTAACATCACAGTTTCTAGGCCTAAATGCCTCAATACCACCAATCAAAACCATTTTTAACCGCTTTTTTTTTTCACTAGACTTTCGGATTTATGCAGTTAAGGCACGTTGAGACTTCAACAACAAACGAGGACTTTTCAGACTTTTTCAGTGACACTAATATAAAATTACACTAAGTAGGTACGACATTGAACTCCTCATCTCGTCGCCATTATGTTATGTCTTTCCAATGAAACACTTTTGGGTTCGTTTAATATTAGCTCTTCTCGCAAACTGTTATTAGATTAAATTATGGTAAATAGAAAAATCTCTAAGCTTTTTCAATCTAGCATTCGAAAAGTTAAGTCAATATTCCAATCAATTGATTTATCTTTTTTGTAAAGGCAACGTTAGCTGATATAGTGGACATCAGTAAAGCTGGACATGGAAATCCATTTGGAAAGCACTACAAACAAACTTTTCAATTTATTTACTTTTCATCGATCGTAACGAGGAACTGGGAATTAGCAAAAATAGCTCAAGGGAGAATGTCATGCATCCAATTAAAATGATTAAAAAAAATGACAATCGAGGAAATTTTATGTAATGCTTTTTAATTCTGTTTGCAATATACTATAAGCTTCAAATAAAATATATTTCATAATTCATATTCAAAAGGAAGCAATTATTCAATTATTTACTACCTTAGGTAGGTATCATGTTTTAAGTGCCTAATATTTATAGCACGTTAGTAGACAATATTTTTATTTGTAATGGTTTTAGTAAGTAGGTAAAAAGAGTCTAAATAACGAATAATGACTAAAATATAGATATCGATTTCTTAATAGCCATTAAGAAATTAAAATGCAAACTTTCAATAATTATATTATTATCTTTGTTCTAAAGAATTAATTATTTTTAAAAATAAGAAGAACAATCGATCAAATACATAGGACTAAAAAACGTTCGTTGTCGTTTATAATAATAAATTTTTAATAACATTAATATATTTTTAATTTACATTCAAATGTAAAGTATAGAGGGACATTTCCACTACAAAAAAATTGAAAAAGCGAATTAGATTTGTAGAATGCAAGTTTAAACTAGGTGCACTTTTCTAGGATTAAAAAAGTTTTGAACTAATTGAATTACATTTCTGTGAATCAAAATTTAGTTAACTTGAGCAAGTTTGCATCAAAACCCCCCCTTCACAGGCCTTAAAAATCCCATTAAAAAACACACACTTATTCCTTTCGCTCCTCACACATAATAAAGCTTCCATTATTAGACTATAATCAGACCGACTGTATACTAAAACTCCACCTTTTTCTTTTACAGGTACAACTACCTTCCTACACGAAGAAAGTTATAGAATGAAATTAAAATCTGCATTAGATCTAGCGTAATCGGAGAAATTGCATACAAGAACGCCGGTACTATTATATAATAAGGAATTCGAAGAATTTGAAAAGAAGATGTTTTAGTTAGTGAAAATGCATCGGAATTGTTTATTGTTAGTTGTTTTGTGGTTTGTGCCGGTACTGCCACAAAAAAGGCCTAATAATGTGTGTCCGACGTTTCGCGATTATTTTAATATGGTTAACAATAGTAAATGCTGGTACGATTTTGCTGCTGAATCGACAGTGGTAAGTACCCCTTAAGTATAAAGTAATTTATTATTAAAATCAAATTTATATACTGCGATTAAAAGTAAAAATTTCTTTAAGAATGTCACAACAGTTTATAAATGCATTATTCATTGGAAATTTAGAAAATTACTTTGTTTAATTAAAACCTTATGTTATTTATTCAGGTTTAATTATTGTGTTTTATCGAAGACAATTAAGATTTTAGACATTCTTTAGTTGAAATATATTAAAACCAAAATGTCTATAAAAAAGTAATTTGCTTGAATGCCTAAATTTAGCAAAGCATTTTGAAATTCAAGTAAGTAAAACTTATTCAACAAACTTTGGAACTCACAATGAACTTCAGAGGATCCGAAATTAGTTGAGTTTGAGGCGTAATTTATATAATTTCCTTTTGGGGCCTTATGTAGGTATTGATTTCAGCCGGAAATTATAAGAAACACCGGTTACCCGATAATCACCTATAAAGTGCGTACTCAGGACGACTTCCATTTGACGGTATTCAGGATACCAGGAGTGAATCCTGATAAACCACCTATTTTTATGCTGCACGGTGTCCAAAGTACTTCTGGAATTTTTGTGGGACTTGGAAAAAGGTCAATAGGTAAGAAATTTGATGAACACAATCTTTTTAGCGGAGTTTTTATACAAAATTGGGAGGTTTCTCGACTATTGTGTGATTTTTTACACTCCGGTTGTTGAATTCGAGCTCACCCAAAGTTGAATGAATTCAATTCTATGTACAGTTTTTGAATAATCATACAGTTTCCTATGTACAGTTTTTGAATAATCATACAGTTTTGTATATTTTCGTATGGTGGTTCTCCATTCGTAGGTCGATCGAGTCTACACCACTGATATTTTCCTGTTTCTGACTAACCCCTCAACCTTTCCATGTTAGTATGAATTCAATCCTATGTACAGGGTGCTGCAATTTGGAGTGTTTTAACAGGAAAAACATACTTCCAGACCAGATAGAGGAAAATTGACTCAGATGTCATGGGATTGATTTTCGAGAAACGTCGATTGTCAAAAACCATATCACGATAGCTTCAATGGTACAGAGTGTTTGTTTATAACTGGAACACCCAGTAACTTTTTTATTATTGAAAATAAAGGGCAATAAAGGTTCAAATCGAAAAAAATCTTGGTAAATTGCAACGATCTCAATCGCCACAACGATATTTTTCTGTCGCCATAGGTATACAGGGTGCGACAAAAAAGTATTTTTTTTAAATGGAACGCCCTTTATATTTTTGCATTTTTAAAATTCTTAGAAAATTAGCTTCACAAATATAGCAAAAACTATTTGAAAAACAAAAATATACAAGGCGTTCCATTTTATAAAAATACCTTTTTGGCGCACCCTGTATACCTATGACGACAAAAAATATCATTGTATCGCTCAAGGTTGCAATTTACTAAGACATTTTCCAAGTTAAACATGCCCTTTATTTTCAATAATAAGAAAGTTACTGAGTGTTCCAGTTATAAACGAACACCCAGTACCATTAAAACAGGGCGATTTTCGATTTTCCCCTATTATGAAAAATGTATATAAGTTTTTTGTTAATCAATTTTTTTCATTTCTGTGAAAACATCTTTGGGATACTTTTTTGAGCACAATCCAGTGACGTACTCAGTTTTTTCTATCTCGCTCCCATTTTGAAATATTGACCAAAGTCCGATTTTTCCAAATAGGACACCCTATATATTAATAGCTCATTGGGTAGCTAGCTCTGCTTTTGCTGATTTCAATGATATAAAGCTCGATAGGTTTATCTCTAACAGTTTTCGAGAAAAAAAAATTATATCTGTTTCAGTCATAAGAAACAATATGTTAGAAAGAGACCTTCCTCATTTTCCTTACACATATAAAATCCTTTTCTAACACATCTACCACTTTATACCATTGAAATCAGCAGAAACAGTGCTATCCAATGAGCTATTAATATATAGGGTGTTTCATTTGAAAATATCGGACTTTGGTCGATATCTCGAAATCGGAGCGATATAGAGAAAAACTTTGTCCGCCACTGGATTGTGCTCAAAAAAGTATCTCCATAATGTTTTTACAGAAATAAAAAAAATTGATAAATAAAAGCTTATAGCTATTTTTCATAAAAAGGGAAATTCGAAAATCGCCCTGTATCAATGGTACCATTGAAGATATCGTGATACGGTTTTTGACAATCGACGTTTCTCGAAAATCGATTCCATGACGTCTAAGTCAATTTTCCTCTATCTAGTCTGGAAGTATGTTTTTTCTGTTGAAACACTCCAAATTGCAGCACCCTGTACAGTTTTTGAATAATCATACAGTTTCCTATGTACAGTTTTTGAATAATCATTCAGTTTTGTAGTTTTGTATATTTCCGTATGGTTCTCCATTCGTAGGTCGATCGAGTATACGCCACTGGTCATTTCCTGTTTCTGACTAACCCCTCAACCTTTCCATGTTCTTATGAATTCAATCATAATTATGTACAGTTTTTTTAATTTCAAGGTATGGACGCTGATCACCTTGCGCATGTGATACAATGTAGTCAAGAAGGAGCCTTTTGCCAGAAATCCGATCATTTAAACAGAGATTATCCTAACCCTATAGGTTAGGAATTGTCCGAAATGTGGTAACTCGGGAAACGGTCCCAGGGGAAATCATTAGGTCGCGAGATTTCTTTCCTACACACCCCAGCGACCTATAACCTTGATAATTTTGGTAATGGGCTCCTTCTTGACTACATTGTATCACATGCGCAAGGTGATCAGCGTCAATAACTTGGAATTAAAATATTGGGATATCCTATGTTAGTTCTACTTGACTCAGGTGCTAGTCATACTCTGGTTGGGTCATCATACTTCCTGAACTTTCACATAAAATTATTCTTGGAATAGACTTCTGGACAACCATGAAAATTATCCCAGATCTTAGACAAGATGTTTGGCATTTTTCTGAGTCTGGTGAGACTGATATTTTGTCTATCAGAGACAATTTGACTCCGTCAGAACGATCTGCTTTAGACACCCTGGTAGAGCAAAAAATTGCAGAGATGGGTACTGGACTCAGTTGCTGCAAGGTAGCTGAGCATAAAATCATTATAGATCCTGGTACAAGACCCATAAAACAAAGGTATTACCCTGTCTCTCCCTTCAAACAAAAGTTTATAGATGACGAAGTTGAGGAAATGTTGAAGTTAGGAGTCATTGAGCGTTCTAGTAGTCGTTGGTCTAGTCCTGTGTGCCTTGCTCGGAAAAAGGATGGATCCTTCAGATTTTGCATCGATTTTAGACAGGTCAATAAATATACAAAAAAAAAAACGCATATCCTCTTCCATATATTTCAACCATTTTAGATCGGTTAAGGGTGACTCGATATATCAGTTCCATCGATATTAAGTCAGCATTTTGGCAGGTCCCTTCGAGTACCTACATCTTCCAAGGAGTAAAATGCATTTACTGTCCCTGGCAGAGGACTTTTCCAATTCTGTCGGATGCCATTTGGCTTATCTAATGCTCCTGCAACCTGGCAAAAAATCATTGACACTATCCTTAGTCCAGAACTCGAACCAAATGTCAGGTGCTACATTGATGACGTGGTGATAAGTTCTAACTCCTTTTCAGAACATTTGCGACTTTTGGAGGTTGAGGCTATAGTCAACATTTCACCAACGAAAAACATCAATGAAGTTCGCAGATTTGTGGTAACTGCTTCCTGGTATCGGCGTTTTGTTCAAGAATTTTCTTCGGTGTAAGCACCCATTCTTAATTTAACTAAAAATAACGTTATTAACCTGGACTCCAGATTGCCAGTATCAGAAATCTTCCACATTACTCAAAGAATGTTAAGTCAGTGCTCCAATTTTCACTGCACCTGATTTCGACAGGATGTTTTATCTACAAACCGATGTATCAAGTTCTTTAACCAGGCAAGAGATGAAACTGACTGTCACAGAGAAGGAATGTCTTGCTGTCATTTGGGCTGTTGAGAAGTTGCGTCATTATCACATCCATTTTATCGTTATCACTGATCACGCATCCTTGTTATGGCTTCATCGTTTAAAGGATCCACAAGGTCGTCTTGCACGTTGGCAATTGCGTCTGCAAGACCATATAGTTCCCGATTTTCTTTCTCGAGCGGTACATATGGCTGTTGATTCTGTTTTCAATTTTACTCCTCCATCTTACACCCCTACATCAACAAGTGACAAATAGTTTTTGGGAATGCTTCAAAAGATAGAAGACAAACCCCTAAAGCTTCCTCTATGGCGTACTCAAAATGGCAATCTTCATAAATTTGTGAAACCTTCCATTCCTAGATTATCTTCTTCAGATGATTGGAAAGTTGTAGTCCCTAAAGACCAGTAAAAAAGTATTTTTCAGCGTTGTCATGACGTTCCAACCTCAGGTCATGTAGGTGTTTATAAGACCTTTGGTAGAATTCTCCAGAATTACTACTGGCCAAAAATGAAGGCTGATGTGTCCCGTTATGTGAAATCTTGTATTTCTTGTGCTCGGAACAAGGTAGAGCAAAAACCTCTAGCGGGTTTAATAGGTGATCGACCCGAAATCACTGAACCATTCCAATCGATTAGCCTTGACTATATAGGTCTTTTGCCTCGTTCCAAGAAGGGACGTTGTTACATTCTTATGATTTCGGACTACTTTAGCAAATCAGTTTTCTTATACCCATGTCGAGCCGGTAAGGCTGTCTCTGGTGGAACACGTTGAAAATTTCTTCCTCCTTTATGGTGCACCCAAATTTCTGACCTGTGATAATGGCGTTCAGATAAAATCCAAAGAATTCCAGGCTTTATGTCAACGATACAGGGCCCACATTTTCTATACAGCCAATTACAATCATCGTGCGAGTCCCACCCAACGGCACAATAGTGTAATTAAGACCTGTATAGTCTGGCTAGCCAAACGGCGAACTTAAAAAGAATTTGCTGCTATGCCAAACTTGACACAAACAATAATAAATAAGTTGCTGACAGATTTTTTTTTGGAATATGGGCCGTGTAGTATTTTGAAATAGGAAAAAATCCGGCAACATTACGAAATGAAGGAAGCGGAGAGGCGTGATTATTCAGAGGCATGATTCTATTGGTTAGAGCCTGAACGACAGCAACAGTGGCGTAATTATTCGTGAAACTCAAGAATTTTTTTGGTTTATTTCCTTGGTGTTTTCGGTGCCACTGAACCCAAAGACATGGTTGTCATCAGGCGGTGTCAGTTGAGGTGTCAGTGAATATTCTTAGGTTACGCCCCACTTTTCTTCCCCCTTTCGTCTTTACCAAGTTACCACTTGCCAGACTATATGTACCTATGTCCGTCAAGAAGATCATAGATCCGGGGACGAACATCTTCAAGAGATTGGCTACGCTATTCGTACCTCGCCGAGGGTCCTGTATCGTTGACATAAAGCCTGGAATTCTTTGGATTTCTTCTGAATGCCATTATCACATGTCAGAAATTTGGGAGCACCATGAAGAAGGAAGAAATTTTCAACGTGTTCCACCAGAGAATTAGCCTTAGCGGCTCGACTTGGGTATGAGAAAACTGATTTGCTAAAGTATTCCGAAATCACAAGAATGTAACAGTGTC